AAAATGTCAAAAATCTCTTTTTAATAATAAATAAATAAAAATATTTATTGGATTAATATTTTTGTTGTAAATTTTGTCAAAAATATTTATTTGGCAATAAACAAAAAATTTAACAAAAATAATTTTTAAATATTTATTCCATTATTTTATTTTTTCAATTCAAAAACATCGGATCAGTTGCGCATGGCTGCCAATAAACTTTTAAAAAAGGAGAAAGAGGCTTTTACTATCTTTCCTCTCTCTAAAAGAAAATAATAATAAAAAATATTTTTATTGTTAAAATAAATAAATTTTTATATTTAAACATAAAATGTAATAAAATGTTAATATTTGTAAAAAGAATTGAAAAAATTATTTTTAAAAAAATGTTAAAGGGAAAATAAATTTAAAAAGGAAATTTTTTTAATTTTTATGGTTAAATTTGTAAAATTAACAATTTAGATTCTCTCATTTCTTTTTAAGAAAATTACAAGGTTTCTTCATGATTGTTATATTAATTAAATAAAATTATCTTGTTGAGAGACTTTTAATTAAATTAAACAAGGTTATCAACAATTTTTGGACACTTGTACCGAAATCCTTATATAAGAAAAAATGGGAATTTAAGTACGAGGCAAAAAATAATGGTGTACGATACGAAGGACGAGTACTAGAGCAAAAATCAAGAAATATACTAGATAATCTAAGAGTACCAAATTTTATAGTGTGTTAAATAATTATAGCTTCGCCCAAATTGAAGTTAAAGAAAGGACGTTAAAACAAGATTAACTTCCTATAAATTCTGAAGTGACTAAATAAAAGTTCCAGTTATTAACAAACGTTAATTTCACATTTTGACAACCAGAACCACTAATAATCAAATTTGCCGAAAAATTTTAGTGACCAAATGTCCAGTGACTAACTTGCCGAGACTTGCCTCCTTAAATTTATAAAATTCTAAAAAAGAAATTTCAATTAAATAAATTAAATTTTTGTAAAAAAATATTTTTAAGAGGATCTAAAGAATGATTATGAGTTATTAAAAAAATAAAAATAAAGTACTTTTTCGGTGTAAAATTAGAAGGAATTTATTTAATGAAAAGAAGTAGAAGGATAATATTTGCGTAAGCAAAGAAGAATTAAAAATATCCATATAAAAATATTTTTAATAATAAAAATATTGTACTTAAAATAATGATAGAAAATAGAAGATAATATTAAAATAAATTTAATATATTAATTTTGTTAAAAGGCATGCCTTTTACAAGACGCGACATAAGCATATCTCTTTTCCTCGTCAGTTTATTTTTACCATAATACTTAAATAAAATCAGAATTTTATTTTTTTTTAATTAAATTCAGAATTTTTTAAACTTTAGAAATCCAGAATTTCGTAAATTAATTATTTAAATTTAAAAATCAGAAGAATGTATTTTCAAATAATTACCTCATAACATATCAGAATTATTTGTTAATTTAAATTCAGAATTTGTTTTTCTGAAATATCACCTCTCTGAAAAATTATTTTTTAAAGTCAGAAAAAATCGGAATTACACAATCCTAAAATTGTCTTCAGAATAATAAAATGATCTAATTTCGATATCAAGTCTCTTTCGTCATCGCGTCGTTAACCCAGAATAACGTCTTATCAAAATTCGATTGTAGTTCTTTTCTATTTCCTAAATCAGCAAAATTTTAATTTCCTTATTAATTAATTTTTCTGTTCAGACTTTTACCAAAAATGAATAAAATAATTTTCCAATTAAAAACAATTCTTCGCCCATTTTTTGTCTGTTTTGCTTTATTTTGTCTTTTACCTTTCTGTTTTTTCTCCAAACATGGAACTTTATATGGAGTAGTCTCTTCCTCTTCAATATATCCACCAGATCAAGAAACAGGATTTGTCGAATCCCTTCTAATTTTCAATCGACTTCCAGAGAATTTACAATCTAATAAAAGGGTTAAAAGAGAACAAAAAACAAATTCTTCAAATAAAGAAAATGAAAATAAATTTACTGATGTAGGAGGAAATACTGGAGCAACAACTACTACTCCTTCAGCTAAAACAACTAGAGAATTTTTAAGAAAAGAAATTCATGGAAGAATTGTTATCAAAATTGGGCATATTGGGGCTATGGTAAAATATAAGGGGAATGGGGGGGGGGGGTGAGGGGGAGAGAATATGTGGTTATAGTTAGGGTCGGGCCGACGATCGAGGCATCTTTTCGGCTTGTTTTTATCGAGTCGAGCCTGTACTCGATCTTTCGGTCCGAGTCGGTCCATTTTGGCAACCCTAGTTATAGGTAAAAGATACATTTAGAGGTACATCTAATTAGTCGACCAGAGCGACACCCTCCCTTTTAATTGAATTGTCGAAGATTAGGGAGTGAGCTACTGTTGTTGAGAACTTCCTTTCCCAAGAGTACTTCATCTAGAATTAAATTGAACCTTTAAAATTCTAAATTAAACTTATTTAAATTTGAAGGGAGCAATGCCGAATGGTGATCGAGTTTTGGAAATTAGTCGACTAGCTTTAATTGATGAAGGAGTTCTTGGGGATGAACTCGATTTTGAGTAAGTGAAGAACATCTATTTTTGTTTGTATTTTGATAATAACGAGATATTTAACAGAAAATTTCTCTCTTTTAGTATAACCTATGCCAGCAATTTTATCCAATCAGCAGCATCATGTGGCGATACTTTTGAAGGAGTTGCTGTTGCTGCTTCAATGTATCATAAAGAAGTAAATTAAAATTTAAAAGACAAAATATTTTTTTGTATTTTTAGAAAGTCAGAGCTTTCTTAGGACCTTACTGTGCTAGCGGTAATTAAAATTTTTTTCAAAGAATTTTTTAAATTTTCATTGTAAGAATTCGAGGCCGTTGCTAAAATGTGTTCATTTTGGAATATTCCAGCAATTTCTTATATGCCTACATCGACAGCAGTTTCTGACAGAAATATTTACAAAACATTAGCACGTCTTTCCTCAAAAAATACAAATTCTATAGCTAAAGCTGTGATAAGAATGGTGGAACATTATGGGTGGAGAAAGGTAAAATGGAGTTTTTTTTTTGGAGAAAATAGGTTTCAAAAGGAAGGAACTCGAAGCTCTAATGGAAATGAAAATTTTTCGCTTAGGATAACTCCTACATAGGAACCTAGGAAAAGAAGCTCGTACAATGAGGCAAAGCATGAAAGCCTTAAAGCTCAACTTAAAAGCTCAAACTATGGGAAGCAGCTCAAAAAAGCTCAATACAAGGCTCAAAACTATGTCAGAAAGAATAAAAAACTAAATCAAACAATTTTACAAATTTATTTATCATACATTCAACAAACAAATATACTTTAGCAAATAGAAAAGGCTTACAACAAAATATGAACAATTATGATGGGAAATGAGGGAAAAATTATCACATTACAAAAAGTTTGAGGAATATACATATCACAATCCTATGAGTTTCTGTCATTGCCCACATCACTCGTCGAACTTCTGTCCTGGCTTCGGTTTGCGACACAGCACCAAGAATTTGTGGACAGCTGGTCCCTCGAAGCGCTCGTCCTTGCCAGCGACGACAGCCGATGCACGCTCGTTACGGATGTCCGCTTTGCCGAGTGCCTCCTTGCCATTTGGTAGAGTTAGCAGGCATGGCGAGATGTTTCCTGAAAGGAATAATAAAATTTAAGGGTTAGCTCAAGGTATTATATGATCGATACCTTTCACGTGGTCCACGTGTACTGGATAGTACACTCGGGAGTTCTTGTCATAGACGGCAGCATCACTCCACGGGCGCCAAAGGTAGTCGTAGCCGCGAACTTGCTCAGGAAGGTCGACGAGGACTTGAATGGAGCCAATATTGTCGGTGAAGGCCTTGCCGTTCCAGCCAAACGCAGCAGCGACCTGAACTCAAAAAAAACCACAAACTAATTTATTTATAAGAAATAAATTTTTTCTCACCTTTCCACCATTGTTCCAGATGCGGCCCATCACAGGTTCACCGTGCACATACCACAAGGCCACATGCTGCTCAGCAGAGTCTCCAGCCGTTGCGTTCAGCGTCTTGTCACCAGCTCTCACCGTCCTATATCCTGGCCATGGGTCTCCCATCCTGATGTCTGCCCACTCGTTCAGCATGATGAGCACTGGCGGCGGTCCCTTGGGGCAGCTGGCGCACACACATCCTGGAGGGCCTCCTTTCAGATTTCTAAAAATGGGATAAATTTTAAAGACGCACCTAAACACCTAAACGTACCGAATAATGATCATCATTTCCGAGAGCGGTTTTCCAACGACGCATTCTGCCTTGCCAGCTTGTGAAAAGTAGGCTTCTTCCGTCTTCATGTTCAAGTAGCCGAGCAGTGTTCCACCAGGACGATTAACCCATAGAATGGGCATCGAGTCGCCGCACCGAACCAGTTGACGTTGATCGGTCTTCTCGAAACGGTCCTTGTACTTGATCCACTCGTACCAATAGCCGAGCGAGTTGTGGTCTCCTTTGTACTGCAGCACCTTAAGGAAAGAAAAAAAAGGTTATAGATTAGCTTACTAAAAAAAGACCCAACGCACCTGAATCATGCCGCCAAGATCTACTTTCCCTGTGAGCTCAGCCTTGCCGTACGGAAATGAAGCTTGTACAACGCCACCGTCGTTCCATGCGTAGCCGTGCACCGGCTTTCCGTTCTTGTACCACAGTGCGACGTACATGTTCTGCTGGCCCAGCACTTTGACAGGATTGTCCGGAAATGGCGACCCGATCGGATTGAACGCCCACGTATCCTCCTTCGGCGCAGGGTTTGGCATTGCGGCTTGCGTTGACGTAACTTGCGATGATGATGTGATGGACGAGATGAGTTGTTGACGGTGAGGAGTGGTCAAAAACCGTTGTTTTTATAGTTATTTTGAGTTGCACAATGCCACCTTCAATGAAAGGCTATAAAAACAACGGTTTTTGACCACTCCTCACCGTCAACAACTCATCTCGTCCATCACATCATCATCGCAAGTTACGTCAACGCAAGCCGCAATGCCAAACCCTGCGCCGAAGGAGGATACGTGGGCGTTCAATCCGATCGGGTCGCCATTTCCGGACAATCCTGTCAAAGTGCTGGGCCAGCAGAACATGTACGTCGCACTGTGGTACAAGAACGGAAAGCCGGTGCACGGCTACGCATGGAACGACGGTGGCGTTGTACAAGCTTCATTTCCGTACGGCAAGGCTGAGCTCACAGGGAAAGTAGATCTTGGCGGCATGATTCAGGTGCGTTGGGTCTTTTTTTAGTAAGCTAATCTATAACCTTTTTTTTCTTTCCTTAAGGTGCTGCAGTACAAAGGAGACCACAACTCGCTCGGCTATTGGTACGAGTGGATCAAGTACAAGGACCGTTTCGAGAAGACCGATCAACGTCAACTGGTTCGGTGCGGCGACTCGATGCCCATTCTATGGGTTAATCGTCCTGGTGGAACACTGCTCGGCTACTTGAACATGAAGACGGAAGAAGCCTACTTTTCACAAGCTGGCAAGGCAGAATGCGTCGTTGGAAAACCGCTCTCGGAAATGATGATCATTATTCGGTACGTTTAGGTGTTTAGGTGCGTCTTTAAAATTTATCCCATTTTTAGAAATCTGAAAGGAGGCCCTCCAGGATGTGTGTGCGCCAGCTGCCCCAAGGGACCGCCGCCAGTGCTCATCATGCTGAACGAGTGGGCAGACATCAGGATGGGAGACCCATGGCCAGGATATAGGACGGTGAGAGCTGGTGACAAGACGCTGAACGCAACGGCTGGAGACTCTGCTGAGCAGCATGTGGCCTTGTGGTATGTGCACGGTGAACCTGTGATGGGCCGCATCTGGAACAATGGTGGAAAGGTGAGAAAAAATTTATTTCTTATAAATAAATTAGTTTGTGGTTTTTTTTGAGTTCAGGTCGCTGCTGCGTTTGGCTGGAACGGCAAGGCCTTCACCGACAATATTGGCTCCATTCAAGTCCTCGTCGACCTTCCTGAGCAAGTTCGCGGCTACGACTACCTTTGGCGCCCGTGGAGTGATGCTGCCGTCTATGACAAGAACTCCCGAGTGTACTATCCAGTACACGTGGACCACGTGAAAGGTATCGATCATATAATACCTTGAGCTAACCCTTAAATTTTATTATTCCTTTCAGGAAACATCTCGCCATGCCTGCTAACTCTACCAAATGGCAAGGAGGCACTCGGCAAAGCGGACATCCGTAACGAGCGTGCATCGGCTGTCGTCGCTGGCAAGGACGAGCGCTTCGAGGGACCAGCTGTCCACAAATTCTTGGTGCTGTGTCGCAAACCGAAGCCAGGACAGAAGTTCGACGAGTGATGTGGGCAATGACAGAAACTCATAGGATTGTGATATGTATATTCCTCAAACTTTTTGTAATGTGATAATTTTTCCCTCATTTCCCATCATAATTGTTCATATTTTGTTGTAAGCCTTTTCTATTTGCTATTTTTTGTATATTTGTTTGTTGAATGTTTGATAAATAAATTTGTAAATTGCTAGAGTTTGTGTTGAGTCAAAATCTAAGGATAGGATTCTCCTAGGTTCGCTTATCTTTAGCTGAAAATTTTCCATTTCCAGTAGAGCTTCGAATTTCTCCCTTTGAAAACTATTTTTCTCGTTGCTTGTTTAGTTTGTTTCACTTGAATTCCTAAAAAAATAACTCCTTTAGATTGCATTAGTAACAAATAGTGGGCCTATTGCTTATGAACGTGTAGCAGCTTTTGAAGAAGAATTTCGTCGAACAAATACAGTAACTGTTGTTAAGAAGGTAAAAGAAAAAATATAAAATTTGGTTTACATGGTCTTAATTTTGAAATTTAATGTATTAAAAATTGGGGGTATCACTTAGCTCTCTTCAAGCACCTAATGGCCGAACTTTAATAAAATCTAGATAGGTATTCTACTTTATTTGGAAATTTAAATTTTTAAGGTAATTTTTGATGAAAATTGGGATTCTAATGAAATAATAAAGAGTGGTTTGCTTAATGAAATTTCACAAAATGCTAGAAGTAAGTTTATACTTCCATAAATAAATTAAAATAATGAGGGTACAAATTTAATAATAAAGAGAGCATAAAATTAATGGCAGAAAAAAATGAAAGAAAAAAAGTTGAGAGTCTCTAATCTTCCCCTTATTTTATTATCTTCAATCTCATTTTCCTCTCAATTCTTTCATGTACAAGTTCCATTCTCATTTTTATTTGTTATTTCCAAAAATGGGAAAGTACAGCATTGAGAACTAGAATCATAACTAGCTGGGTAAAAACGTCCCTGGGCATCTTTTAAATAACAACATTTTGTTTTGCCTAAACGTTCTATTGGTTTATCACAACAAATTTGTGTTCGGGTATTGTATTGTTGATATTCTGCTGTGTTCTGAAATGTTAGAGAGAATTTTAATAGAATTTCTGAAATAAATTTATTAAAGCAAGTAAAGTTGTGTTGGAAGGTATTGAAGGATTTTATTAGTTCCATTATTGTTTCCAAAAAGGGCACGAAAGTGTTGACAGCTTCTCCTTACAGTTAATTCACTTTGCTAAGATAAAGAAAGGATGACGGAACGAAGGTTTCTAAAATCTAAAGATACGTTGATGACCCCGCTAATGAAACTAGAATTCATCCGAAACAACTCCTTTGCAAATTTGGTCACATGCTAAAGGGATGCTGACAACTCCGCGGACCCCCTTGATTAATTTATCAACACCTACATAAATATTACAACATCCATCAAATAATTCTTTGAGAGAAACTTGTCCTCCACAACAAATTTCTTTTTTTCCTCCATCATAGGCATTTTTGCCTGAATATCAATTTTTCCTTGCTTAAAACTACAACAAGCTTACCACAACAAATTAAAGACGGGTCTACATTTGTTAAAAGCATTTCATCACAACAAAGAGTATTAAATGAGTTTCGGGCATATGCCATTTTGCCACAACATTCCCCTGAAGGAATATTGTGTACAACTCCTTGGCAACAAGTTTGGTCATAAGCTAAAGTTTGATTGCCACAACATCGGTCAATAAAACTCGAAGATTGTTTGCGTCTAAAATTATTGGGACATCGAAAGTGTTCCTTTCACTCCATGATGTTCCTTTCAGCCTATATGTAGGGTGAAGGGAACATCGAATAACAGAACTGTCAAGAAAGACAACTCCCTATCTCAATTTATTTAACATTTTCCCTAAGATCATAAGACCTAGATTTAAAATTTTTCTACCTCCTTGGAACATTTTCACAACAAATTTCTTCAAATTGGTTACTTGGTTCATCTCCACAACTCAAAAAAATAAAATAAATTTTATTCCTTAATTTATTTTACCACATAATTCCATACATCTACAAAATTATTTTTCAAAAATAAAAATTCATTTAATTTACCTCTTCGGGTCTTTGAAATTCTTCACAATTATCCCCACAACATGCTTTTAAAACTAATTGTTTTATATCGTTGTCTACTGAAACAACATAATATAATTTTGTTAAAATTTTTATTTCATTCCCCATCCTTCTAATAATTTCAAAATGTGATAATGTAGGCGAAAGGATTATAATGAAATATTAGAGCTCTTAAACCTTCCTCTTAACCTCTTAAACCTCTTAAAACTTCTTCAAACCTTCCTATACATATCTTTAGAGTCCAAGAGTTGACCTTGAGCAGTGCTTCATAATTTCAGATTGGCATAATTTAAGACTAAGTACGAGTTCGTACTCGTATTTTGGGCGCGTTGAAATCACTTGTCATGAGATTTGATTCAAGACTTCTCTTAGGTTTTTCTTGGGGCAGACCTCATCATAAAACACCTTATTAGGTGATTCCCTTTCTGCAAGGGAAGTAAGACAAAAAAGAGAAAAGGATAATTTCGGAAAAATGGTTGAGGGGGGGGGGGAATATTTAAGAATTAAAATTTACCGTTCTGTTCTGCTTTAATTAAATAGTAATTAAAAATTAAAATAAGATAGGCAAAGTTTAGGCAAAACATTGAGATAATAACTAGAAAAAAAAAGAAAATAAAATTTACATAAAAAAAAGAATTATTATTTATTCACCTATCAGAAAAGTAAATTAAAATTTTTGATACATACAGTAGTCGACAAAAAGATAGGGACAAACGCAAGCAAAATGAAAATCACCTATTTTTTTCGGTTAAAAATCGATCTTAGAAAAAATTTTTTGATTGATTAAATACTAGATTTAATGCTCTATTTAATGAGTAGAAAATTTGCCTGTTTAATTTTTTATAAAATTCAACCCTTATTGAAAAACTAAAGGTATGCTATTTTAAGCGCGACAAAAAGATAGGGACAAGTCTTGTAACTAAGTTCTCATAGAAGCGAAAAATCTACAAAATTTATTGTAAGCATATTGATCGATAATAAGAAGAAATAAAAGAGAACTGGGTCCATATCTCATTTCGTTGTCGAGATCTAGATACCCCAAAAATCAACGTAAAATAGGGTTTTTCGACTTCAAAATTTTTTTCGGACCCCTTATTGATTGTTTTAAATTTTCATTTTAGGCTTATTCGATAGTTCTTTAATTGTGCTATAAACGTGACAAATTTCATTTTTCAAAAAAATTTCACTCCCGAGATAAAGGACGACGATTCTTCAAAACGCCATTTTTGTGGGAATTTATGGGGTGTTTGTTGCTTTTTGTAACATTCGCCTCTGCAACTAACGAAGTATTTTTTTCTGAAAAATGAAATTTGGCTAGTTTATAGCAAATTTCAAGAGCTATCGAATAGGCTCAAAATAAAAATTTTAAAAAATCCATAAGGGGTCGAAAATATTTTTTGAAGTTGCTTACCCCTGTTTTACGTTGATTTTTGGGGTATCGAGATCTCGACATTGAAATGATCTACGGGCCTAGTTCCTTTTTATTTTATCTTAGTATCGATCATTATGTTTGCACGAATTTTTGTAAATTTATTGGTTGGGTGACTACTTAGTTACAAGACTTGTCCCTATCTTTTTGTCGGGCTAAAATTTGCAGTACTTTTTTATTTAAATTATTTCAGTATATCAAAAAATAGTAATCCGCCAGATCTTATACTTATTAAATAGAGCATTAAATGGCGTATTTAATCAAACAAAAAATTTTTCCTGAAATCGATTTTTAGCTGAGAAAATAGGTGATTTTCATTTTACATGCGTTTGTCCCTATCTTTTTGTCGACTACTGTAAGTTAAGTTGTTGCTTAAAATTTTTATTAAATATTTTTAAAGGATATTTTTGAATTTTCAAATAAAAATTAAAAAATATATAAAACCATGTATTATTTAGTACTTAATTTGGATCTAGTTTAGGACATGCGTCCCATGAGTGTTTAAGCGTCCCCTGAGTACAAGCTTCCCATCCATGCATCCCATCCAAGTATATTCTTAGAGATTTTCGAAGATTTTTTGTTTCAAAACAGTTCTGGTTACTGACTGGGTCTTTGGTATTTTAGGATTCATATTCTTTCGGGATGCATTCTTAGGACGCTTAAACACTCATTGGACGCATGTCCTAAACCTTTAGTTTACTTAATTTTAAAATTAATGTTGTGGGCCGAAAATATAATTTTAGGGGCGCCAATTTTGTTTTGCGCGATTTATTTAAGTAAATTAACGATTTTAATTCCAAATAATTTGTCGAAAATAATTAAATTTAAAAAATAAAAATATTTTTATAATATTTTTTATAAATAAGTCAATAAAAATAAATCCAAAAATATAGACAAAATGGATTTTTGGACAGACGGAAATTAGGATTTTTCTCTTTCATAATACTCTTGATAAAATAGTACTGGTGTGTAAATAAATAAATACATTAGCTAATTTTTAATAAAATATTGGGGAGATCTGAAAATCTCAAAAAAAAACTTATTTTTTAGTTGTTGTTTGCATTTTCTCCTACACTCGTGAATTGACTAGAGAATTTATGAGTGCCATTTCAAAGGTCCAAATGAATACTGCAGAATATGCTTATATTCTTCCTTGGCTTCAATCTGGACCTAAAGGCATTAAAAAAATAAAAAATCTCGAAAAAAAATTTTCAGACGCCTCGCCATGGATGGGATCAACAGGAGAAGTACTTCAACAAGTAAAAGATACCTATGCAAATGCCGTAATTGTTGATGATGTGAATGGATTTGACAATGTTTTAGTTGATACTTTTGTTAGCCGAATAGAGAAATTTGGATTAGCTAAAGAAGACTTGGATTTGGTAAATTTATTTGCAAAAAATGTTTAATTTAAAATAAGAGGATTTTTGTCGGTTGTCCTAAAATTAAAATCTTAAACTTAAAGAAAAAATAATGTCTGCAGCAGACTTGTCTCTCTTATGCACATGCCTGTTATTATACACTCTCTCGCTTTTTGTCTGACCATAAACCGGAAAATCAAGAAATATGTTAAACTTCTTTGTTTCTTCTCTGTATTAAATCATTCCGGTTCTTTCCAGATTGCTTTAGTAAATAGAAAGAGTTGAGTGCATTGCTTGAAAATTTCTGATCACCACCCCCTAATTTTGGCTTCGTACTCGTAGTTATTGTTAGCTACTTCGTAACAGGTACGAATACGAGGTAAGGAGCGTCCAAGCATTGGTTGAGTGCATAAGAGAGACTACATATCCTCATCATTATTTGAAATTTAAAATTTAATAAAAAAACCAAAGAGAAATTGTTTGTCTTTTTTTAGTTTTAAAAAATTTTTAGCAAACCGATATAAGGTTAAATATTAAAGAAAAAATTATTTTAAAAAAATCTTAGAAAATGGCCTCATCAACAAGGCCATCTGAAGGGAGCACACAAACGCAAGTGAATTAAAAAACAAAAAAAAAATAAAAAAAATCTTTGGTTTTAAAGGACAACTTTAAACTTTTTAATTAAAAAATTAAATTTTCAAAAAAAAATTTTAATTTTTAACAAAATTTATATTTTTACTTATTAGACCAACACTTTTGCCTATCTCCATTTATATGATTCGTTAAAATTGTATGCATTAGCTGTCCGTAAAGTAATGAATAAAACTGATGAGGCTAATCAAACGGCTGCTGTACTTGATGGACATCAAATTTGGAGTGCAATGAGACGACTTTCTTTTGACGGTGTTCTTTTGGGGATTTTTTTGTCAATGAATTTTTAAAAAATTACCGTATACCTTCTATTAAGTGCCCAGAGAATTTAGTTAAAATACGATATAATGTTACCCCTGTTTAAAAAACGATTCTGAAATTTTCTTTGGCCATTCTGAATAAATTTCTCATCGAGAATGACATATCGATTATACATACTATAACATTGGAGATACTGTCATCATTATCTCCCCACCATAACATCGGAGATACTGTCATTTCTATCCCACCCCCCCTCCCCTCCCCATCAAAAGTGTTCTGCCAATTTTATTAAAAAATATTTTTGTCAGTCCTAGAAAGGATTCATTAAGAAATACTAAAAGGACTGATTTTGTTATTTTCGAAACTTTTTAGGCATTGGAACAGTCGTTTCAGGTTCTAATACTGGATTAGTTCAAATGGACGACTTGGCTGATAGAGCGCCTCAATTCGCTGCTTTCTTTATTGCTCCAAACAGAGAAAAGGTTTTGAAAATGGTACAGATGACTACTTATAGAATTCCAAATTGTGACGGAACTATTAATAGAACTGGGTGTTATGATTTGGTAAATTTAGATATTTTTAATAGAATTTTTTATTGGAAGTTTCACTAATTATGAAGCTCATCTCTAGCGAGTGTCTAAGTATACCCATTGTCTCCTCATAATTCCGTGAGGGACTAACGCTTTATACTATTATAAATGAGCGCCGATATCTCCAATGAACATATAACGCTACTAGCTAATCTTGTGTCAAACTACCTTATAATTTAAGTTCTAAAAAAATCCATTTCAGAAATTGACTGATGTAATGACTGGTTTCTGGCCTTCTGAGAACGGGGCAATGCCCCCAGATGAACCAGTTTGCGGCTTCAGAGGTCAACGTTGTTCCTACACTGTAGAAATTGCTGTTGGCGCAACTGTTTTAGCTTTAATTATGCTTATTCTTTTACTTTGGTTGTTACGTCGACATTGGTGTTTTTGTCTTTTAATAAAAAATTACAAAAATTTCCCATTCAATCCTCAGCCAAACCCGTGCTTTAAACAAAATGCCTTGGCGTTTATTCAGCGACGATTTTCGTTTAATTGACGAAGAAGCAGCTCGTTCTCTTCTTTCTATTGGAAGTTCTAATACAAAATTGTCAAATCAAAGTATTGGGGGAAGCAAAAAGCACGCAATACTTGGTGTTAATACACACGCAACTTATAGAAGATTTATACAAAAACAACCATTAAAATTTAATAGAGAAGATATGGTTTTGTTGACAGCTGTAAAAGATGCTATCCACGATAATATTAATCCTTTCCTTGGAATGGCCTTTAATGATAAAGAGGAAATGTAAGGAAAAATTGTTTATTTTGGGGGGGAGGGGGGGGGAGAAGGAGGAAGAGGGCGTGAAGGAGAGAATTCAGAATAGGGATAGAAGGGGTTATCATAGTACTGGTGTTGAAGTTATAGACCGGACTGGGAGTGTTGTACCTGATACAGAGTGGCCCTTTTACCCTATTTCTAGAGGATTTTCCCTATTTTTGACCTTTTCGCCCTATTTTTTCCCTATTTTCTCATTTGCCATATTTTTGCCCTATTTTTACCATCTTGTAAAATTTTTAAAAATTCTTCGGATTTTGTAAAAAAAATGGTAAAAATGAAGGATTTATGACTTCCCGGCCTTCCAAAATCCTCAAAATGTTTTGCCTGCGGCGCAAAAAATAGAAGAAATCTGGATTCTTGGCTTTCCAAAATTCTCAAAATTTTCGCCTTATTTGAAATTTTAATTATGTTTAAGCTTTTAAAACTATACCCTAATTTTTGCACTATTTGTGGTCGATTTCTCCCTATTTTTGCCCTATTTTTGAGTGGCTGCGCCCTATTTTAGTGTTTTGGAAGGGGCCACCCTGACCTGATATCTCGAAAAATATCCATTTCGATAACCGAGATTTTTTTCGAAATCTCTCTCGATCCGGTCTCTAACTGGAATAAACCCTTCCTATAAATCTTCGAGAAATTCCTATTACTCTGATTGTTTAGGTTGAAGGAAGTCCAAGATTAGAAGGACTAATTGTAAACCAGAGATGAACCTTTAGTTATCTGGGAAGGGAAAGCATAATGTGCAGGGATAGCTTTGACTAGGAAACAATTGTGAGGACTGTAAGGACCTATTGAGATTATTTTTGAATGGAGTAAGATTGTAAGGATGATTCACCTAGCAACATTTAAAACGCTTAGGCGGGGGATAAACGATCTAAAAAGGAAAAAGAGAAAGCATTAGTCGATGCCCCGGTAGCTCAACGGTAGAGCTCCTGCATATAGTGAGCGAAAGCGCCTAGCAATAACTAGCAGGTGGTCGCAGGTTCGAATCCTGCCCGGTGGCTAAACTTTTGCAAACTCTTTCTAGATTTATTAGGAAAGGAGCTCTCAAACACTTGTAAAGTTTATTTTATAACTGAGCCCGGTTAATCCAAAAAATTACACATCCTTTTCTAATCCAAACGAAGCTTTTTTAGGTTTATTTTATGGAAGTTTTGTTCGCGTGGGAGTGTTCAAGACATTATTTACAACAAAAGTATGACTTTAGATGAGAAGTTCCATGCTGCTTTTGTTCGTGATATTACTTTGGTAATTGAAAAATTATGGAATATTTTTTAAAAATCCTAAAAAATATTTTAGGGTTTAGAATATTTGCATTTATCAAAAGTTGGTTTTCACGGTTTATTAAGTCCTTCTACTTGTGTAATTGACCGAAATTGGTCTGTTCGTTTAACTGATTTTGGATTGGCTACAATGCTGGAAAGATGGCAAAAGGAAGGGCAAATACAGCCTTATAAGGCCGAGGAAGAGGAAGAAGTTGTTAAAGAAAAGAGGCGGGGAAGTAAAGAAAAATCTTGTCCAACTGCTTTTGATAGAAGGGGATTGAAAGCTAATTGTTTGTTGTTTTTTAATTAATTTGGAATGAGAAAACTAACGGTTAGGCTAAAAAACCCTGTGCTCTAGACGACTGTATAGAGGATTTCCCAATTTGGCAGGTCACCCCTAGATTTTAGCCCCGTTATAAGAAGGACCATCGTATCAGGAACATTCTTACCTAGATTATATTTAATTAGGGATTCTTATCACATCACATTATTACTCTCTGAGATCGTCGTGCTCGTGCGTATAAAATTTCATCTGATTTGAAATCTAATTGCCTAAATTTTACTTTAGACCTGAAAGATTTCGATTAAAATTCATTTTTTAAGATAATATTTATTGCCCGCCCGAAATGTTGAAGAATCGAGAACAAAATAGACGTCGCCGTATGGATCAAAGTTGGATTCAACAATCTGTTATGCGTAGACAGGTTCAGAAATTGGCCCAAACTTCTATTTCCTTTTTAAATTTTAGGCTGGGGATATTTATGCTTTTGGAATTGTTATGTATGAAATTTTATTCCGTGATCTTCCATTCCCTAGAAATGTTGACCTCTCTGGTCAGTTTGACTCTTTATTTTTGGCATTTAATTGGGAAAACTTGTTGAATTATTGTTTGTTTAGAAGAAAAATAAAGGGTTGTTTCGGGAATAATAAATAAGGGCTCTTTTTCGGATATCCCACTCCCCCCCCCCCTAATATGAGTTTCAGTTATTCTTTCCTCTTTCATGCTTATCATTTATTTTTCCATGCAATATATATTAACGAAATGAAAGTGCAGAAAATAAATTTTTTTGCTTGATCAAATATACCCAAAAATTAAGAAGGAAAAAAATAACTGATATTCAAACTAGAAGGAGGCACATATCCAAAAAGTACCTAGACTGAACCGAGGAGTTCTCGGTTTAGGATATCTGAGGAATTTTATTGAGCAAAATTTTTATCTTCACTTTTCTCTTTAATATTTAGAAGCCGATTAAGAGTTTTCGAGACCAAAAATTTAAATTAAAGTTATCCATTGTTCAATTAATCCCCTCTCTTATTCTAAAAAATTCCCGAAACACCCCTTAAACAAAGGTTATATTTATCAAGTAAGTATTTTTTAAAATTTATTTATGGGACATTATATTTAAATTATTTTCAAACAAAATTAATTAATTATTAACCCAATAATTCATACAAATCCAATCATTTGTCTCTCTTTAATTTTCCCTTTTTTTATTTTTTTGGTAAATTTTAGATACGCGAAACGGCAACAATGATAATATTTTTTTAATTAAAAAATTTAATTTTTAATTTTGTTATTTTTTAGGTGTGGGGGCTTCTGGAGATGATGGATCTAGACACATTAAACCAACAATTCAAGAAAAGGAAACTCAAATACATCCGGATATGGCCGCCCTTTTAATTGATTGTTGGTCAGAAAATGCGGAAATACGTCCAAGTATTCGACGTGTTCGTTTAAATACTGAATCTGTTCTTAAATGGCTAGTTTTTTTTGAAAAAATTAATGGCGGTTTTGCCAAATATGGCAGCAGTCCTTGCCTATTTGGGATTGCCTGTCTTGGGTATCCGTGGTGCGAAAGAGCAATCTATTCGGATATTTGTCCGCAACCGGAGATAAGTGCTTAAGATAGCTTTGAATGGTTTTTTTTCGAGTTGACTCATCTCTTCTGTATTCTCTGAAACTGACAAGCCTATCTTGGTTGGGCGGTATCGAGATCCCGATTATTCCAAATCCCGATTCTATGTCGAAATCCCGATGCCGCCCAACTCTATTAAAAACCTTGCCAATTTAATACATTTTCAATTAAAATATAATATTTTAGAAAAGAATTATTGGTTAAATTTAGACCATAATCCATTAATTATTACTAGAAAAACCCCCTCAATTAAATTTCCGTTTTATTCAATTTCTTTTCAGCAAAGGTTCTTTAGTAGAACAAATGATGAGAGTTATGGAACAATATGCAAATAATTTGGAAAAAGTTGTTCGTGAACGTACAGAAATGCTTGAAGAAGCTAATGCCCGTGCTGACAGACTATTAAATCAATTATTGCCACCGTAAATTTTTTTAAAGGAAATAGGAAATTGCCGGAAAAAGTCCTAATAGATGCCCTGTGCTTTTATTTTTCACTACCCCTCATTAAATGGTCTTCAAATAGAACATGGGCTTCTATTAGATTCCCCTTAGGTTCAACGTTTCCTTTTGGAAAAAATTCTTTCTCCCTCAAGAAATTTATAGTTCAATGAGTTTTTTATTGTTTAAGAGGAATGAATTTTTCCTCGTTCCTGGAAAAATCTTTTCTATATTATCACACTACCTTTTAATAGAAAAATTAAATTCCGCGTCAATTCAATACAAATTTAAAATACCTAATAAATAATTTCCTTCCTTCCCCCCAACAAAGATATGTGGCTACAGAATTAAAGGCTGGACGTCGTGTTCCTCCAGAAACTTTTGCTTCTGCCACAATACTTTTTTCTAATATTGTTGGATTTACTCGTATATGTCAAGAAAGCTCTCCTCTTGAAGTTGTTACTTTATTAAATGGAATATATGCTGGGTTTGATGACAGAATTCTTGAACATGGGGCTTATAAAGTATATATAAATTTAGTTAAAAAATTACTAGTTCCTTTCCAGAAGTACTTAGAACATTAAATTCAATTGTAAAACGAGAATATTAGTCTTATTAAATAAATGGAGGAGAAATTTAATTTCTCGAGAGGAGAAATTTAATTTCTCGAGAGGAGAAATTTAATTTCTCGAGAGGAGAAATTTAATTTCTCGAGAGGAGAAATTTAACTTCTCGGGAGGGAAATTTAATTTCAAATTATTCGACCCAGATTAAGATGGCCCCAGGTATGGCTGGATAACTCGGAAATTTTCGATCCGGATGTTGGATCCGGATATTCGGGTATTTCCCAGCATCTCCCAGCCATACCTCCAAGTTACCTTTAATTAGAGAAACACTGATTCTTTGGGAGTATAAATATCGGAACCAGCTAGGGAGGCCTTATATCAAGGAGGCACTGGGGTGATTTCTAAGCTTTAAATTTTCTAAAAAAATAAATTAAAAAAATCTCTTTTTTTCCTAAAAAGGTAGAAACAATTGGAGACGCGTACATGGTTGTTGCAGGAATTCCCCCACCTAAAGACCAAAGTGTTTTGGCACAAAATCGACACGTTGATACAATTGCTAATGTTGCTCTTTCTATGCGTAAATTTCTTTCTGGTTATGAAATTCCTCATAGACGAAAAGAAAGGGTTAAATAATTTTTTGTCATTAAATTTTAATCTTTTAAAGGTTAAATGTCGATGGGGTTTTCATTCAGGACCGGTAAGTTAATTATAAAAACAGTATTTTCTTGAATAAATACCCTTCTTTCGAACACTCGGTGTAATGGATAATTAATTAGGGAGGGCAATTCGAGTTTTGTAATTTTGAACGTGTGGTAGGGATTTGAGGGGAATGGGTTAATTATGTTTTGATTCATTAATAAATAAATAGTCTAGCGATAATTATTTGAGGAGGGTAATTAATCGAGGAAAAATAGTCGATTAATTATTTTTTATTAACAATTTTTGATAAATTTCGGTTAACTTCGATTCTGACAATAGGCTTAATGGGTGCTTTGGTACCTTTATTTACCACTGACCTTATAAAAAACTTGACTTTAATTGGTCTATTAACTCTTGTTATACAGACAAGCACGGGGATAACCCCTAAGATGTCGCTATATTTATTGCACCATTAAATAATGTTATTCTCCTTTTAAGTCCCGTTATACGGAATAACGAAGCTCTAATTAAACATATATTCGACAATTAATTGTTTTTCTTAGACCAAATAATTTTTAAAAATTTTAACTAAAGGTTGCTGCTGGTGTTGTTGGATTAACTGCTCCACGTTATTGTTTATTTGGAGATACTGTAAATATTTTTTATTAAAATATTTTTTAAAAATAATAAAAAGGTCAATACTGCATCGAGAATGGAATCAACAGGATTGCCCGAAAAAATTCAAATAAGCGACCAAACTAATCAATTGCTGGCTACACATTATGCTGAATATGTTACTGAACATCGTGGACAAGTTGAAATTAAGGTATAGTTTTAGTAGGATTTTAATTTGGAAGGGCTTGTAAAATTGAATAATATATTGGGAAAGACGCGCTTAAAAAGACCCATACTTTTGATGAAACTCTCATTTCGCTCCTAAATTTTCCTGAAATAATTTAGTTTCTAAAATGACTTGGGCGAGTAAATGTGAGTTAATTGAATATGAATAAGAGGAAATTTTAGAATTTAAAGAAATTTACTGGGAAAGATAGGAAAATTTCTTATTTTACCTTTGGAGACAAGGAAAATACAATAATTACTGGAGACCACCGGGAGGGATTTCAATTCGCGATAACCGAGATTTTTTGCTTGAGATCTCGTCTAGGTCCGATCTCTAATGGTTACATAATTACTTCAAACTAAATTTAATACGAAAAAAATTTTTTATTTTTAAAGGGCAAAGGTTTATGTAAAACTTATTGGCTAGAATCAAAAAATATGAGCCATTTATCAAGCGAACAAATGCAAATTCATTCATTCCAACAACTTTATTAAATTAGAGAAATTGAAGAAAAAAAAATTAAATAAAAATAATCTTTTTTTTTATTCCTTTCCTTTTAAATCCTTTCCAATTTTCTTTAAAAATCTCTAAAAATTGTGATCTCTTTTCTGTAATTTTAGGGGAAATTAAAATTTAGAAAATAAATTTTTTTTAATTCTATGAAAAAACAAAATAATATACATAACAAATTTGGTTGTAAAATATAAATTTCAAAAATACATTTTAAGATTTTCTTATTATAAATCTTACAATTAGGGAGAATTATTTGGAAACAAAAAATCTCTGGGGAATCTACAAAAATTTGAATTTAAATTTTAAAACCTATTTTATTAACGAAAAAGTTTTTGGCGTTTTGTTAATTTTGAAAATTTTTATTTTAATTTTCGGAAAAGTCATTTTTTCCGGATCTAGAACGATGTTGAATCTTACTTATTCTCTTTTTAGTTTTTTTTATTTTTACAACCTCCCCTTTGTTTTTCAGACTTTATCTAGTTAAATATTCTATTTATTTTGGACAATTATTGGTTTGACTTAAATGAGGTGAGTAAGGGGATCAATTTCGACAATTCTATTAAACCCATTGGTGCTATCGTTTTATCTCCTCATAAAATTGTAAATGTCCGCCGTAGATGTGGTGAGATACAGAATTAATCCCGCCACAATTATTAGAGAAAATCCCAGATGCGAGATCTATTTTCTTAAAATATCAGTTCCCCTCTGTCAGATTTCCATTTTATAAAGTTTAATCCCTACCATTGACAGTTGGGGGAGATAAGCCGATAGTACTCATCATTTTTGTTGCATTACCTAGTGATAATTTAAATTTTAAGCAATCTTCGTCTACAAAAACGTTTGGCGGCGGCGGTTCTCAAGTGTGGCAAAGGGAAGGTTTGGTTGGATCCGAATGAAGTCAACGAGATTTCCGCTGCAAATTCTCGTCAGAACGTTCGTCGTTTGGTCAAAGATGGTCTTATAATTAAGAAGCCTGGCAAGATTCACTCTCGTTTTCGAGCTCGTGAACGTTTGGAAGCACGCAGAAAGGTTTTGTTTTTCTAAAAAAATTTAAACTTAGAAAACTTCAGGGTCGTCATATGGGTTTTGGAAAACGACGCGGAACTCGAAATGCTAGAATGCCTGAGAAGGTCTTATGGATGCGTCGAATGCGTGTGCTTCGCCATCTTTTAAAGCGCTATCGCGCTGCGAAGAAGATTGACAAGCATCTTTACCATGAGCTTTACTTGAAGGCTAAAGGAAACGCATTTAAGAACAAGCGCAACCTTATGGAATATATCTTCAAAAAGAAGACTGAGAACCAGCGTTCTAAACAACTTGCGTATGTTTTTACAAGACATGGACTTTAAACTTTGTACTTTTAGTGAACAAGCTGAGGCTCGCCGAAACAAGAACAAGGAGACGAGGAAGAGGCGTGAAGAACGTTTGATTGCGAAGCGCAAAGAGTTGCTCAATAAACTTACTGAAGGTGAGAAGAAGGAAGAGACACCGCAGCAATGATTTTTTGTTTTTGGATTTTATATCTTTAGTTTGTTGATCTGAAAACAAAGGAGAAGCTTTTTAACTTTTGCGGTTTTTATTTTAATAAGAATTATAATGACTTTTTAAATGTATTTTGAAGGAATGTTTTTAGATAGCTAAATATTAGGAACCGGAAAGGCCAAAAAGAAAAATCGAAGCGTAAGTTTCCCCATCCCTATTAAACATGATCGTGTAAATATACCTCCACCACCGATAACATGAGCCCCGGAATTTGATAATGGCTCTGCCGGAGGGCAACGTAACCATTCAACCACTTCTATACCAGCTCTTCCATTCCACCCACAAAAACATTGCATATAATTGAAATACTCAAACTAATTTAACAACACAATCAAGCGCAACAACCTCAACGAGATCCGTTGAGACAACTGAGTAAAAGAATAGATTGCGAGACAATTCGGATCTCCAAAGTTATTGTAATACAAAAATTTATTTATTTTTTGAATATTTGTTACCTAAATTTTTCTTTTTCTTCTTCCCCTTCTTTTTCTTCTTCCTTCTAAAACAACATAAATTAAAAGAAGTTGTCTCAGTTGTTGAGGTTGTTGAACTTGTTGCGCTGGATTGAGTAGTTGTTGCGCTGGATTGTGTGAGTGATGTTGTTGTACTTGATTGTGTACCATCACCACCTCCATCACCTTCATCACCACCACCTCTTCCACCACCAACAATACGAGTGCCTGAACTAGATGATTGTTCAGCCTGAGGGCGGCGCAGGCCCGTAGCCAGGGGGGGGGGGGGGTGAGGGGGGGAATTCCCCCCCCCCCCCCCCCGAAATGGGAAAAAGGAAAAAATTTGGGGAAGGGCTGGGGCAAAAAAAGTGAATTTTTTGGCCTACGGCCTCTGAAATTTAAAAAATTTTCGCCTGCGGCGCTAAAAAAGGAAGAAATCTGGCTTCTTGAGGTCCAAAATTCAAAAAATTTTCGCCTGCGGCGCTGAAAATCAAATTTTCGGCGCCTGCGGCGCCGAAAAAGTGAATTTTTTTGTCCTACGGCCTTCTAAAATTCTCAAAATTTTCGCCTGCGGCGCTGAAAATAAAAATTTTTGGCGCCTTCGGCGTCAAAAATTTGGCGCAAAAAATTTTTTCCCCCTTTCCCCCTTTCCCCCCCCCCCCCCCCCCCCCCCGAAAAAAAATCCTGGCTACGGGCCTGGGGCGGCGGCACCATTCAAAAATTTCTACGCCCGCTTTTATCCCCAATGCAGCATCTTTTTCTTCTTCCTTCTATTGGGGATTGGGGATAAAAGCGGGCGTAGAAATTTTTGAATGGTGCCGCCCCTCAGGCTGAACAATCTTCTGAACAATCTTTAGAAGGAAGAAGAAAAAAATGCAGCATTGGGAATAAAAGCGGGCGTAGAAATTTTTGAATGGTGCCGCCGCCCTCAGGCTGAACAATCATCTAGTTCAGGCACTCGTATTGTTGGTGGTGGAAGAGGTGGTGGTGATGAAGGTGATGGAGGTGGTGATGGTACACAATCAAGTACAACAACATCACTCACACAATCCAGCGCAACAACTACTCAATCCAGCGCAACAAGTTCAACAACCTCAACAACTGAGACAACTTCTTTTAATTTATGTTGTTTTAGAAGGAAGAAGAAAAAGAAGGGGAAGAAGAAAAAGAAAAATTTAGGTAACAAATATTCAAAAAATAAATAAATTTTTGTATTACAATAACTTTGGAGATCCGAATTGTCTCGCAATCTATTCTTTTACTCAGTTGTCTCAACGGATCTCGTTGAGGTTGTTGCGCTTGATTGTGTTGTTAAATTAGTTTGAGTATTTCAATTATATGCAATGTTTTTGTGGGTGGAATGGAAGAGCTGGTATAGAAGTGGTTGAATGGTTACGTTGTCCTCCGGCAGAGCCATTATCAAATTCCGGGGCTCATGTTATCAGTGGTGGAGGTATATTTACACGATCATGTTTAATGGGGATGGGGAAACTTTTTGAGGCCTTTATTCTAGAGGAAGAGAATTAAAATGCGTTTTTTAAATATATTCTTTGCGAATGTTTTTAGCTATCTAAATATGAGAGATGAGCCCTTCCGTATTATTAAAAGGGAATGAGGAAGACAGAAGTCATGTTTGGTATTACAAGCTTTTTTCCGCTGTTTATGTCAGCATCTAAATGGCATTTGGGGGCTTGGTATTTCAACAAGCTTCTGGTATTATAAGACGTTCCGAGTCTCTCTCCCCCTTCCGTCTTTTTTCATCTTCCCTTTTAATAATGCAGAATGGCTCATCTTTTATATTTAAGGTAGCTAAAAACATTCACTTAGAATATATTTAAAAAAACGAATTTTAATTCTCCTCCTCTAAAATAAAAGTCAAAAGTTTATTTTTTATTATTTCCTATCTCGCTTACAATTAGTTTTTTGCAGCTTTTCTTTTGTTTTTTAAAAAATATAAACGGTTATGGTAAATGCGGTATTTATCAAAATGTTTTAAATAAAATGGCAATTTCTTAATATTTGCCTCTATTTCCTTTTATCGATCGTTTAACATTTTCGATTTTTTGTAGAATGTCTACCAAAGATTTCTAATACTCTTTTAATTTTTTCCGTGACCGTATTTCATGACTTTCATGATTCTTCATATTACTTACATTAGTCTTACTCTTGGAAAATTTTCGGTCTTATATATCTTTTTCCCACTTTATCTGTTTCAATTAACCGAAGAATCTTCTAAACCCAAAACATACTTCAAATACCTTAAGGACAAGAAGGTTCTATTCACAAAATTTTAGACTAAATTCAAATTTTTTATTGACACGACCTAAACCCGAGCTTTTTTTCCTAGTTTTTTTTCAATCCGTCCCCTATCCCCGATTCTCACTACAAAATCTTAAAAATTTCATTTGCAATTATCTTAATTTTTTATTTTCAAGTCTTTTAGGAGATTTTTAAATGTAAAAAATATATGCATTTTATTTATTCATTAGCTCCAAGTTTTGGAAGTATTTTAGCTTCGCCAGGTTATGCTTGTCTAATTATTTGTTTTTTTCTTCTTGCCCGTTTCCTCAAATTGACTAGTTTTGATGAAAAACCTCAAATTTCTTTGAGGAAAAAAGGACGAGTTAAAATTAAAAGAAAATTTTCAATTGACAACAATGATAGTTTCGACAATTTTGAAAATTTTGTTAATGTTGATTTGGCTGAACTTTTGGAACAATGCTCTATTTTGAAAGAAATGTTAGGTTTTTTAAGAATAATTATTTTTTACTTTAAATGGGTTTCTGGGGCGAGGACGGAGGAATTTTCAAAAAAATTTCCGAAGCTGGAATTTTCAGTTTAGGAGAAGGTCGATAAACATCTAGGTATTTTATAAGGGGAAAATACACGGGGAGGTCAGGGTTCTTATTCAAATTTTTTTATTTTTTAGTTATGTTCCCCCTCCAATTTGGGGAAGAAATGGACATTTACAAACAATGTTTTATGGAATACTTGGTCATCATTCTCTTAAAAGAGCTTTTGACAAACGCCATTTTATTGTTTTAAAAGATGGAGCTACTGCTACATTTGATGTTTTTGAGCCAATTTTTAAAGAATCGAAAAAGAATGGTTAGTGGGAATTTTATTTTTTAGTCAAAAAATTGGGAAGACTTTAACTAACAAAAATTTCAATTTTTCTTTTAGTCGATATTACTTTGGTTTTTTGCCCTGGAATTGCTAATTGTAGCGAATCAAATTATATTCGAACATGTGTCCATCTTTTACAAGAAAATGGCTATAGATGTGCAGTTCTCAATCATTTGGGTGTTCTCAAAAATGTTCCTTTAACTTCTACAAGAATTTTTTCTTATGGTTTTTTTAATTTTTAAAAACTTTAATTTGATTATTTTAAGGTGGAGATGGGGAGTTAGAAGCTATATTTAATTCTCTCTTTATTCTCTATCCTTCTACTCGTTTTATTGGTGTTGGCTTTAGTATGGGAGCAAATGTCATGACTAATTGTTTGGCTAAATTGGAAAAATCAATTCTTTCTAGAATTATTTTGGCTATTTCTGTTTGTCAAGGATATTCCGCTAGAGAGTAAATTTTTTTATTTTTGACACTTGCGGACAAAAAATTTTTGTCCGAAAAATTTTGCGGATAATCGATTTTGAGTAAAATTTTTAATTTAAGCACAGCACCCCTTTTCATGGAATGGGAATCTGGGCGTCGAATTTATAATTATATAATAACTGAAAATGTAAAGCGTTTGCTCCGCCATAATTTTGCAATGGCTATACAGCCACATGTAAATTCTGGATTGATTAATGAAAAGGTTTTTTTAAATATTTTGAGGAAAATTTATTTTTTAATTTTTTAGCAACTTTGGTCTTCAACTTCGCTTTTATGGTTAGATGAGTGTTATAGTCGAAGAATTTATGGATTTTCAAGTCTTGAGGATTATTATGAGGAAATTAGTTGTTTACAACACATTAAGGGAATAAAATTGCCAATGGTTTGTTTCTTTATTTTTTGAATAAAAATTTCATTAAATCGGTGATCTCGCTTGGAATTTGGGTCCTAATTCGGAATAGAGAGGGGGCCAAAACGACCTCACAAGAATTTTTGCTCCGCCATAATTTTTAATTTTTCTTTTATTAAAAAATTTTTTTCAGATTTTTATAAATTCTCTTGATGACCCTCTCATCCCAGAAACATTGTGGAAGCCAGTTAAAGACATTTGCAAATCACATCCTCTTCATGCATTTATTTTACTCAAACATGGTGGCCATTTAGGATTTTTGGAAGGTAAATCTCCCATTCATCCACGTTCTGTTACTTGGTTAGATCGTTTTATTCTTCAATTGGCGGAAGCTGTAAATTCGCAAATGGAAAGTGTTGGTGAATATTCTGGTAATTTAAATGACTTTAAAGATGATAGACGAAAAAGTTTTTGAAATTATTTTTTTTCCAAATTTCTCATTTTCTAAAAATCACGGTGGTATTCTTTTAATTTTTTTTTGATATTTTACAATTGTGATTTCATTACTAAAATTTTTTTTGTTTTAGTATTTTCATAGGCGTAGTAACTTTTAAAAATTTTTTTTGTACTATCGTATAGAGCTTGATCGAAAACCTATTATGTTTTCAGGCTTTTTCCCCTGACGTGCATTTCGAAGAGTTATAGGGGTTTTAAAGTTAGACCGCTTGAGAGTTTTAACCTATTGTTGTACGCCTATGAAATTTCTTTTTGTTATTTAAATCGTTGCTTTAAAATTACAGACTTTTATCCTCAAAGCACTAGCGCATAAGACTTTTTTTATAAACAGAATTGTTCCTAAAAATCTTTGAAAATCAAAATTTCAAAAAAGCTCTGTTTATAAATTAAAATGACCCAAATCTTCAAATAAAAAAGCTTTCCAATTCTTTAAAAATCTTTAAAATGTACTATTTTTGTTAATTGTTTTGTGTTTCTAGTTATATGTATTTGTTTTAAAAAAATCTTTAAAAATTTTCAAAAAATTTTTTTTCTAATTAATTTTTAAGAAATTATTTTTATATTTATTTTTATTCTAAAATTTTTTCTCATTTATTAATTAAAATTTAATCAAAGATGACTTCAAATATGGAAATTTGTACCCCTTCCACAAGTTCAGCTGCTAACGAAAAACAAAATGAACAACAACATGCTTTCCCTACAAATTTTAATTATTTAGCTGTCGGAAGGGAAGAAGAAAAACTTAAATGGTTAGTGTTACAACATGTAAAGCCTAGTACTTTCAAAACAATTTTTGAACCTATGATGAGTAATAAAAAGCCGAATAGAAGAGATGAATTGACTTGTGTTCAAGCTTGTATGTTACTTAAATCTATAGTAAGTGGATTTTTGTTAAATTTATTTGGGGGGGGGGTGCTAAATTAGTTTAAAGTTTTTAACTTAAAAATGCTTTTATAAAAAAGGGTAAAGTGTGGTGAAAATTCTAGTTTTAGTTTTTCTCTAGTCGCCTGGATTCTAGTCGCCTGAAACCGAATGGCTTTGCTTTCGGCTGGCCAAAAAGTTCGATTTTATTTATCGGGTTCGGTTAGCCAAATAATTTAACTAAACCGATATTCAGAAACTAAAAAAGAATATTTAATACCTTGGCATGTCCTGAATATTGAGGAATAAATTTACTTTTTCTCTAGATTTTTGGACTTTTCTGATGCCCACCAAAAAAGAAAATTTTGTATTAAAACTTTTAAAAATTAAATTTTCAGCAAGAATTCCCGGATAAATTAGAACCTGCTTGTTATGGTTTAATAAATTTACTCAACACTGAAACAATGTATTTGTATTCTTTGGACAAGATAATTACAAAAATAATTACAACTGCTGTAGAGGAAAAAATAATTAGTTTATTGTGGGTTTTTATTATTTAAAAGAAATTTTCTTCAAAATCTTTAATTATTTCCAGACTTGCGTGCCAATTATTAGTTACCTCCATTGATTTTCGAATGGAACGAAGACTAAATCCAGAAAAAATAAAATTTGTTCGTAAAAGTATTGAGCAAATGGATTACAAAAATTTGAGAGATTTGGTGAAACTTTTACTGGTTGAAAAATTGGATAAGATGGATTATCTATTAGATGAATATCAGCATCAACAATTGGAACCTATTGAAGAGGTTTTTTAAAATTTAAATGATGGAATTTGATTTTTCGCCTTCTACCATTTTAAGAAAAATAATGCGGCCCTTGAAAGTAGTTGTTGGGCCAGCAGTTCTTTCTTTTTGAGTCCAACCGTTTTTGATGAATTTTAATTATCTTATAGTTGATTGTTTTTTATTTAAAATTTATTTTTAAGCTGGTCATAGATTTAGTTGATCGTCAAAAGAATTTTTCTCCTGCTTTATTTTTCATAAATGAAGTTAGCAAGATTGACACAGACCATTCTTCTATACATTTTTTGCCGGTTTTATTTTTTTAATTTCAATTTTAATTCATTTTTAGCGAGTTTCTTTAAAAATTCGCGAAATGGTAGCTTCTTTTCGCCCTCTAGCTGAAATTGGTTGTATGCTTGGACGTTCGTGGATGTGGCCTGTACCTGCAAGTCCTATTTTTTCTTGGAATTCTCCTACTTGGAGTGTTTGGAAATTAGATGATAGACAGTGCAAATTACATTTTAAAACACATTTGCCGTATAATAGGTTAGTAGAGTGTTTTTTGATTAATTTTTAATATTTTCTTCTACTCCACCTTAACTCCTTAAGCATATTCTTTTTTTCTTCAAATTGGCAAAAAGCTAATTTTTGTTTCTTTTTCGAAACATTTCTCTGTCATTTTAAATTTTCCATATATCTCAACTATAATTTACAAATAGTTCAACTTCTTATCCTAATTGATTAAAAATCAATTAAAAATTATTCAAAAAAATCAAACTTAAATTTTTAGTGAAAATTCTTCTCCACAAACGTATTTCCAATATATTCTATTTAAACAACCACATGGGCAGGACAATTTAAATGTATTTTTTAAAATATTTTTTTCTTTGAAAATCTATTTTAAAGCATATTTTACGTCCTTCGCCACAAGTGCAATCATCAAAACTTCAATGTGACGAAGTTATTCAAATTTTAATTTTAGAAGCAATGTCTGCAATGGAAGATTGTGAACAACCTGTTTTGGCACCAATAAATCAATATAATTGGTTACATCTTTCACATTTGGTTACTTATGCCTTGTTAATGGGACATTGTACACTTTATCAATTATTGCATATGTTATTGCCTCCATTACGAAGTTGCCAGGTTTTTTTTTAAAATATGTAATTACTGAATTTTTATGGGGTGAGTGGTGGCAATCAAGGGCGTAGCCAGGTGGTCGATTTCAGGGGGGAGGGCTAAAATGAGGTATGAGTCTAATGCAGATTTTTTAACACGAAATTTTTATTTTTTTCAGCGCCGCAGGCAATTTTTTGAAATTACTTTTTAGCTCAATCCCCTCCTAAAATTTTTCCCTTTTCCCCAATTCGGGGGGGGGGGGGGCTTTGGCCCCAGACTGCCCCCCTAGTTACGCCCTTGATGACAATGAGTTTTCGAGATTTTTTAAGTAAATGTCTTCAATATTTTTAAATTCATAACTCGTATTTAAAATTATTTTATTTAGTATTTGCACGCTAAAGAAGAATTAATGTGGATATTATTACAATATATCTCTAATGCAAAATCAATAGAAAAACAATTGGCCAGTGGTTCTTCTACAGCTTCAGTTTTGGGTTTACCCTCAAGTGCTGGACTTGATACAGAAAATCGGGAATTAGTTCTACAAATTTTTAATGTTCTTTATACTGATAATTCAATGAATTGGGGCAATTCTTGTTCAACAGAACAGCCATTGGAAATGGTAATTTTTGGAAAATTTTTAAGGCACTAAAAAATTAAATTTGTTTGTCAGGGTTTTTTTTTCTTTTTTTTCATTTCTGCCTATAGCTTTAAAAAAATTTCAAATTAATTTTTCTACAGGTCCGTTTCTTTGCCCCAGCTGCAATATGGTCTCATCTGGTCACATCAATTTCTGCGGCACCAGGATCTGAACAAATTCCACAGCCTCAACCACCTGAAAAACTTCGAAAATTAATTGATTTTATTGGTTTTTTTATTTTTTAATATTTTTTATTTAAAAATTTTTCTAGAGAATCAATTACGAGATAATAAAGACCAAAAGCAATTGGAAAGAAATACTGCATTATTAGCTGTTGTAGCTAATTCATATAGTAATAATCACGATGTTTTTGTTGAACATGTAAATAATACCGTCTTTCCTGAATTGTCAAAAGTGGGGCAGCAACGAAATCAGGTTAAATTTTTTTTGGTTTTTTTGGGGTTTTACAATAGTTAAGGTTAGGGGAGAAAGGTAAAAGTTTAGACCTTAGTAGGATCCTGCGGCCTCCTTGCAGTTATTTGCTAGACGTTCATTACGTACAGATATTATTGCAATTTAATTCAAATTTGATAATTTATTGAAAATCTAAAACCTAGGAATCCAGGCCTGGGCCCAGGTAAAAAAAATTCCTGGGTTTTTTGAGGCCTGGGTTTTCCATGGACTACAGGCCCAGAATCCGGCCCAGGCCAATAAATCAAACCCAGTAACAGGCCCAGGCTTTTCAAAAATTCCGATTTCTACTACCGACTAAAACGAGGCTCTAGTTATTTTGTCTTTTTGGATCTTTTGTCTGCAAATTTTTCGAATTAAAAAAGTATTTAAAAAAACTTTTATAGACAATATCCCCAACAATTCAACAAGAAAAATGGACACTTCCATGTGGTCGTAAAACAGAGCCATTCCTTCGTGCCTTAGAATTAACATTTTTGGATTCTTTAACATTTCATGCTAAACGTCAACTATATAATTATGCTCTAAATCGTGTTTTTAAATTAATATTACCTCCATTAGGGCATCAACAACAACAACCATCTCCACCTATTTTTAGGTTTTTTTTCTTAAAAAATTTTTTTTATTAATTTTTCTCTCTAGATTGCCTTCTCCTGCTCTAGTAGAAAGTATTGCACGTCTTTTACTTAGTACTGAATTATGTGATCAAGATGGAGCAAATTTCTTTTATCATGTTCTCTTAACATTAAAACCGGTGCAAAATGAGTCACAAAATATGTTTTTGGCTCGAAATGATTTTTTGGCACTTCTCTTGGAATTATTAAATTTTCGACTTCAAAATATTGGATTTGGTTGGAAATGGGATTTTGGAAATAGAATAAGTAATATTTTTGAAGAAAATTTAATTTATGTTTTTTTTTGGATTTTAGCTTTTATACTAAAAATTATTGATCAATTATTACATAATAAAAATATTGAACAATCACCTATGCCAGTTATTATTCAAATGGCTCAACTTTTAGAACAAACTTTGTTACGTTTTGCGCAGTGCACTTTTCCAAATGATTTGATTATTGCTTCAGCAGTTGTACTTACAAAAACATATATTGTTAAATTTTCGCCGGAGGTGAGAAAAAAATTTTTTTAAATTTTTTAAATTCATTTTTTGAATTAAAATATTTTTAAATCTAATCTGAAATAAGGCTTTCCAAATTTCCATTTTCTAATTTAAGCTTTTGGGGTCTCTTTTCCAATCTTTTACTATTAATTAACATGCCACAATTGTGACTGTTTTAAAATAAAAGTGAACATTTTTTCAGATTTGCCGCATTTTACTTCTCAAAGCTATTCGTGCATTCAAATTATTAGGAGATGTTTACAAACCTTCCACAGGTAACTATAGTATAATTTCGATAATATTCACTTTGACAAACTTGACAGAATGATTTCGAAAATTTATGTAGTCGGAATTTGACTTTTTCCTTTATATTATAACTTGAATATACACGAGTTTGCTTTCAAATATCAGAGTTTTTTGACGATATTGTCTTCTTTTGTTTTTGGTTCATAGTTTTTATTTTTGAAATATTTGTTGTCGAGTTGATATTATCGAAGTGAATATTATCGAGTATTTAATGGTAAATTAATAGGAAATCTTTCCACTGATGTTCAACCAATTCAAGCCGCTGATGAAAAAACATTAATGGATATGATTCCACAATTAGGCTGGCAATGGCCGAGATTTGAACTTCAATGGTTTCCAACAAATTTACAACAAGTTCTACATAAACAAATGGCTAAAAATGAAGAAGAATTGACTGCTAAACATTCTCAAAAATTATTAGAATTGGAACAAGCAAGTGCTCAAGAAATGCAAAATTTGGTGCATTTAAATATTGAATATTTTATGGTAATTTTTAATAAAAAAATTTCCTTGAAATAAATTATTTTTTTTTCCTAGCAACCTCGACCATCTTCACAACCTCCTACTTTATTTATTTCTATTTTTCGTTGTCTTTACCAATCTCAATTTACAAATTTTCAATTTCCACAACCTCAAAACCCTCCACCTTCATCAACACCAAATTTTTTTGCTCTATGTTATAAAATACTTGGAGCGTTAGTAAATCGAGAATTACATCAACTAACTAATGCTTTAATTGATTGGTTGGCATCTAAATGTGAATGGTTAGGACAAGATTCGGCGCCTACACAAGGACATGATGAATATGATTTGCCTCATGTAGGGAATTTATTTGGATTTTTCTAAATTTTTTGATTTTTAGATACTTAAAATACTTAATGATATGCTCTTTTCTCATCAATTTTTATCTGTTGATCGTCTACTTTTTTCAATTGCCATTCATCCAACTGATGACCAATCAAACAAAACACTTCTTTGTTTGTTAGCAGCATTACTTGAAAGTAAATTTTCTCAATTACCTGAACGTTTACATGCTTGTTATACTTTTGCACCTTCACATTCACAAACAACAAGCTCTAATTCTGAAGAATTTTTTATGCAAATGGTTGAATATTATAAGGTTTTATTTGAATTTTTAAATTTATGGGAAACTTCCTTTCATTGATCAAAGTTTCCTAGCTTTTCATGTTTTGACTATTCCTTTCATTGCGTCGTTTAAACTTTCTAGTTACAGAATTTAAGTGTCAGGTTGTCCAAGGGCGTATCCGTAAACGCCAAAATTTTGGTGCACGCCGACTTTTAGCACTCCCCCCTGGATACGTCCTTGGGATGTTTTTTTGTCGCTTGTAATAAACCTTGTAGCCCTTACAGTTCTACTCATTGGTTTTGATCTTCATAAAAATCCTTTTTAGAAATTTTATCCTTTATTTGCTTTCCTTATTTTTTATTCTCTTTCTTTTCAATTTTCTTTACCTTTTTGTCAATATTTTTTTTAATTTCTCTTGTTTTTCTGTCAATTAAATTTTATTTAATTTCAGAAATATCCTGAATATTCTATTGCTGAACTCTACAGACGTTCTTTAAATCCACAAGCACAACAACAACAAGAAATAGTACATAATTTACCTGTATATTATGGACATTTAGCTGAACGAATATGTCCAGTAACTATTTTTTTATTTTAATAATACTTACTTATCTAATTTTTATTTAAAGATTGTTGATATTTTATTACAAAAAGCAATTTCTATGGATTTAAAACCTGCTGTTATGGATACTTTACTTTGCCATTTTTCTCCTATTTATAGGATTCATCGTAAATTTATTTTTTTAATTATTTGATATCCCTTATTAGAGTTGTCGGTTCTTAAAATCTTCAGATATCTGGAACCGAACCTAGATTTTTTCTTTATTAGTAGTGGGCGAATAGTCTTGACAAAATTGGAGTTATTCCACGCTTATATTTCATACATTTTTGGTGCCATAGGCAGAAATTTGAATGCCCATTGACCCTGAATACCGATACTTATAATCAACACAAAGTTGGATTGGAGAAATATCGTGGATCTGGTGGAATTAAGGTGGATTTGGAGGGATCAAAGGCGATATTATTTAATTTGGTCAAGATCAGAATTAAATTCCTAAATCAAAAATGAAAACACGCATTACACAAATATTTTATATCAAGAATACAACAAATATATACATACATCTTGAAGGACATAATAATCAACAGGCGAAATATACAATACACTATGGATTGGGGTTAGAAAAATACAATGGGAATTATTAATCATCCTATGCTCATCCGCTTCAATTTTGTTGTTGCCTGCTCCTTCTTGACAGTCATCTCGCGATCTCTTCCGGTGCTTCACTCCTTCTTCTCCTCGGCGGCAGGAGGAGCAGCAGCAGAATTGGCGGCGGCAGAATTGGCGGCACCAGAAGCGGCCGAGACATTGAAGACCACCTCTCCGGACTGTGCTTGAGCAAGGAATGGCGCCTTCGGATCAAGCTCATCAGCAGGCACCTCTGCCCATTGGACGACGAATCGATCTGCGCCAGGAGATCCTCCAGGGAGACGATGCACATCGATCGGCTTCTTGCCATTGGGGTCGACGAAGCCGTACACAGAACTGACGCGGTAGAACATATTGTTGCTGCACTTGATCTGGAAAATTAAAAATTTTAGTGACGAGAAATTTGAGAGATTTCAAGGAGGTTTACCTTGAATGCATGACGCTTGTCCGTTGTGTTGACGATTGTATGCTTGTTGAGACCTCCTTTGACAGCGTCGAAGGTACTCCCAGGCGGATCGATGTTGAGAGCCATCCTTTATGCGTAGAGAAAGTTTTCTGCTGCCGGAACGTTGAGAATAGCGTGTTATTGTTGTCGGATTGTTTTTAAACAAAAATTTGGGTGCTTTTATAGTAACAAAGCATCGTCTCTTATTGTTAGGTTTTTCCAGTGATGATCTAACTGATCCTAAAAGCTTGTTTCAGCAACCCCCACCTCCCTCATTGTGTTTAAAACATTTGTCAAATTTATTTGTTTTAAGCTCAACCAATGAATTTTTTATATACAACACTTTACTCTTTGGATGATATTTTACTTGCTCATCAGCAAGAAGCTGCCAATTGTCAATCATTTCTTAGCCGTCCCGTTCGCAAATTTGTACTTGAAATCGTTTTAAAGTTGGAACAAGAAGAAATTCCTCAAACACCACTTGGAAGAAATCCTGTTGGAAAATTGTTAACCTCAGATTTTATTCAATTAGATCATCAAGTTTGGATGAATTTAAAAAAAATAAATATTAAAAAAAAATATTTTTTAAAGATGCCACCAATTAAATTTTGTCGAACTCTTGTAGAGAGAATTGTTCAAGCTAGCACTTATACGCACCAACCGCCTTCTTTTGTTCATTCTGATTGGAGATTTGCTGAATTTCCAGTATGTATTTTAATTGAATTTCTTTATGATTAGTTGTTGTGTAGTGGTTAGTGTTCTCGATTTTTTAAGAAATAGGGGTAAGGTTCGAGGATAATGATGACTAAACTTTCACACTTTGTGAATTAATTATGTGCTATGTTTCCCTATTGGTCTGAGTCCTTGTTTATTTTTAAATTTTTTTCTGTGAAAAATTCCAAATTTAATTATCTTCCTTTAATTTATTTTAAGCCAGCAGCACAAGCATTAACTAGCGCCTGGGTAGAATTACTGGCTTCTCGACATTCACCGGCTGATATAATTGATGCTCTCGTTCAATTAGCAATACGTAGACCAATATCTCGACCTCAAGTAAAATTTTATTTTCAAAAAATTAAAGGAAATTTATTTTTAAGGACACTTTAAATGCTCTAGGTTTACTACTAACAGGATTGCCTTCATCTTTCCAGTCCGTCTTTTTGGATAAAATTGAGCAATCTTTTGATTGGGAACAAATATCTAAAATTAATTCTGATCCATCCCAATTATTTGAATCTCTTTCAAACGAAGTTTATTTACATTCTGAAAGTAAAATTCTTTCAATGTTGGCACTCTTTCATTCATTTTGTCAGCACGGAGGGAATAATTCTTTAAATATTATACCTGATTTAATTGTTCAAAGATTATCTAAAAAAGTGAAAAATGAAGCACAATTAATTTATTTTTTGAGAATTGTAATGCCTTATTTACAAAGAATTACAGAAAGGGAAAGACATAGACACATGATTGAGGTAAATTTTTTTAGAGGAAGAAAATAAATTATTTTTTAAAAATTATTCTTTAAGATTTTATGGAATACAACAGTGGAACCTTCTTCTCTTTTATTTGTTAGTAGTAGGATAGCTCAAAAAAAAGGATGGGTGGGTGACCGGAGCTAGCTTTATTAGCTATATTTCCTTCGAAGCATGGACAAAACTTGGACACAAGTTTTCATACCCAGACATTTTTTGAGCTTCCTCTCTCTTTTTCCTGACTACATAATTAAAGAATCTCAAGAATTAGAATATCAATCCAGAACCCAATAATAAGCTTATTAGAGAGCCCAATAAACAACTTTAATATATTCTATGCCAATAAGATTTTTAAGATTAGAGAATAATCTTTAAAAAATTCTTTTTCCAGATTGTAACAATTTATAAAGTTCTTGGTAATTTAACACAAAAAGTTGGAAAATTAAAATATGAAGATACAATTTGTGATTTATTATATCAATTTAAATATATGTTTGTTGGTTATACATTGAAAGACCAAATTGAAGAAACTATAAGCTCTTTTCCTGTAATTTTGAATTTTTTATTTGAAATTAGAAAATTAATTATTTTTTAAAGGAATCTATGCGTGAAAAGCTCAAATTTCTTTTAACACATTCTAGTGCTGCTGCATCTGAAATACAACAACAACAAATGCAGCAAATTATTCAGCAACAACAAATTTTGGTTTCTTTTTTTTACTTGAATACAGGCAGCCCTTATTTTATAAGATCCCTCAATTTGGTTTAATATTGGGTAAGAAAAGTTCCCTGTACCGCTAAATAAGACACTAATTATAAAGTATAATTTCCTCATTCCCAACGGGTATCCAAAAATGATGTCCGCCTAATTATAAAGATGTTTTTAGCAACACCAATCTTCCTTTGGCAATTTATTACCAGGAATTCCAAATGCAGCAGCTATGTTTGCTGTACATCAACAACAGCAGCAACAACAACAGACTGTACATTTTTTCTTTCCAAAGATTATTTTTCTTTGGACTTTCACTAAAAATTATTTTTATTTTCAGCTTCAACAACAATCTTCTTTTGATTTACAACAACAGCAACCACCTTCCTCTACCCCAGCACTTGCAGGAATGCTTAGACGTTTAAGTCATCCAGAAAGCGATTCAGCCTTAATAATGCAACAATATGGAGGCATTCCAAATCCTTCTTTAAGCTCTCATGGAGAGCTTGGAAGTAATTTAAATCTACAACAACAACACCAAATGTCCTCTTATCAGCATTCACATTTCCCTTCTTCTAGTAATTCAATAAATCCAATGATGGGAGGAAATATTCCTGGTACTTCAATGTCATCCTTTACTTCAATACCTAGTAATTCAAATACAAATCAAGGACTTCAACAACAACAACAAATTGTTCCTCCCCCACCTCCATATTCTCAACAACAATCAACTTCTATGGGAATGATGCCTAGTAATTTTTTATCCCGTTTTTTTCTTAAGAATAGGAAATTAAAGAGGTTTTCTTCCTTCCGTTTCCGGTTTTTAAAAATTTGGCAGGGCCTATTCTCTCATAAAAAAATATTTTTTTTATTTTCAGCCTCTACTCCCTTCTCTGGTCACCAAATACCTTCATCCTCATCTAGTAATATGCATTACATGATGGGACCTGGCCCTTCTAATTTTGGACAGCAAGGTCCACAACCTTTTATTAATTCAAATCAAATGACCCCCAACCAAATGAGTTTTGCTGCTTTTCAACAACAACAACAAATGGCAGCACAAATGTCTGCAAGTCAACATCATGGTGGTGGTCCTCCTGTTAATTTAATGGGTGGAGGACAACAACAATCAACTGCTGGAGGAGGAGGAAGTCAATTACCTCCAAATTTTCCTTCTGGAAGTCAGGGGGGATTTTAATAGGAAAAACTTTATTTTACAAATTTGTTACACCTTCAATTTTGTAAAAAATATTCAGAGCCTTGATGGAAAAAATATTTTAAACTTTATTTTTTTATTTTTCCTTTTTCTAATATTTATTGTTATACCTCTATTTTATTTACCTATCAGGGGTCTTAGCCAACAAAAAATAGGAATTTCCTGAAAAAAAAATTCCTGGAATTCCTGAAAAATTTTAATCCGGATTTCGGGAATCGAGTCGGCTAACCCCCTGATACTTATATGTAGATTCTTTTTTTAATGAAAAATCTGGCTGAACAATTTTTTCCTTGTCAAAATTTAAATAAAATAGAGGATTATTTTAAATTGTATATATATTTAATTTGAGATTGGGGACTTTACAAAATTAAAGTTTTGAATTTAGTTTTAATTTTGTCTAATTTTTCCAAATAATTTCTCCACTAATATCAACAGGTATAGCTTTTATAGCCATTCCAGCATCTACTAACCAATTAGCCCCACAAACAAAACTTGCTTCTTTACTTGCCAAAAATTTAATAACAGCAGCAACTTCTTCAACATTTCCATATCTTCCCATTAATGTTGCTGATTCTACCCATTTTTTATGCTTAAAAAATTAGAAGAGGTTACGTTCCCACTTTTAAAATTTATTTCGTCTATCCCTTTTGGATCTTTTCCTTTTTCGTGTTTTTTTTAATTTTTTCTCATTTTTTAAATTTTTCTATAGTACTACATATGAACATAATATATATTCGGATATATCTCCCCTCGCTCATCTATTAATCTAAAATTTCTTGTCATTTTATATCTTCCTCCTTTTCATTTTCCTTGATCTTTTAAACTACTCGTATCTATTTTTCAGTCGAAACTAAGGATTTGATGGATCCTGGAAAATCCTCGAATATCTAGTCTGCCAACCCTAGTCTCGACATTATTTTATCATTTTTTTATCAAAACTTGCCTGTTCTTTCCTTGTCCCGCAAATTCCGTTGCGTTCAAAAATTAATGTTTTAATAGGTCCAGGGCTAACATTATTAATTCTAACACCTTTTGGACCCCAAATTTGTGCATAACTTTCAGTTAACGTATTTAAAGCACTTTTAAGTGCACAATAAAAAGCAGCAGAACGTAAAGGTCGAAGAGCACCACTCGTAGAAATATTTACAACATTTCCTTTAGTTGCCTCCAAATAAGGGAGAGCACCTTCAAGTAATTGAACAACACTTGAAAATTTTTTCGAATTAAAGAATTTTTTCAAATTAACCTTCTCAAATTAACCGCAAATAAATAGTCTAAATTAGCTAAAGAATTTGCGTCAGAACCAGCTTTGAAAGTTATGCCTGGTTTACAACCAGCTGCGGCGTTGTTTACCTAAAAATTCTATTTTATTTTAAATAAAACAAATAGTGTTTATAAGATTTTTGTTTCAGTTTGTTGTATGGTGTAGTGGTTAGTGTTCTCGGTTAGCTTTTGTTTTCAGTTACGTTCGAGTCTGTTCATTGGACAAAATATTTTCTCTTTCATGTTAACTGGTAACTTTACTTTTTAAGACATAAAAATTTTTTGACATTATTTTTTCATTTATAATTAATTTTTAATTTTTCTATTAAACTCCAAATATCAAAATTAAAAAAAACATTGTTTAAAAAATTACCAAAACATCAATTTTCCCAAATTTATCAAGTGTTTGTTCTAAAATTTGTTTAGGCACTTCTTCTCTCTCTAATTGCCCAATAATGCTAAGTATTCGTTTTGGACCAATTCCTTCCTTATTTAACAATTTTTCTGTTTCTTCAAGTCTTTCCCTACATTGCCCATGTATAACAACAGAAGCTCCTTCCCTAGCAAATTCTAAAGCAGTTTGCCTTCCAATACCTGCAGAAGATCCAGTTATAATAACTACACTGTCAACAAAACGTTTTACTGAAGACATTTTTAACGACGAGAAAATGGGGGAATTTAGTGAATTAAATGTTTTTATAAAATAAATAGTTAGATAGATGTTTTCTTCTTTTCTTTTCATTTTTTCCTTTATTTAATCAACTTCTTCAGATGTTTTTTATATAAAAAAGCGCAAGCTTAAAACAAATATAAATTTGTCTGTTAATCACGAGTAACTAATCCTTTATATAAAAAATGAAAAGTACAAAAAGATTGGAAGGTTAAAATAAAAGTACATAAAAAACTTTGTGGTATTTATGGTATTTCCTGAAGGTGTCCAATAAACTTAAACCAAAAAATAAAATTTTTTTACCAAAAAACTTCTTGCTTTGACTTCTTGCGAATTAAAAATAGAACAAGAAGCCTTCTGATCATTTTTAAATTTTGAGAGTTTTGTCCATTTTGGAAATTCGCTGTTACTGACCATTTTGAAAAATTCCCCTTTATTGGCCATTTGTGTCAAGCCTAAAGGTTTAGGCTTATGAACATTTCGGCGCGGCAACTTGTTGGCGTATACTTTTTACGCCACCAAGTCGCCGCGCCGAAATGTTCATAAAGCCTAAACCTTTAGGCTTGACACAAATGGCCAATAAACGGGAATTTTTCAAAATGGTCAGTAACAGCGAATTTCCAAAATGGACAAAACTCTCAAAATTTAAAAATGGTCAGAATTTTGTTAATCAAAAAAGGACATTCACAAAATGTTAAATGCTAAAAAGTGTTAGAAATCTAATAATGACAACATTTAATCACCTAACCTTGCCAAGACGATTAATAAATTTATATGAATCAACGTAATTCTTTTAAAAACGCCTCATAATTTTTAAAAATAAAAATATCAAACAATTATTTAACACATTTCTTAAATTAAAAAAATGCTTTCAAATATAATTTTTATTCAATTATTTTTTCTAACCCTCGGAATTCCTTTTAATCGTTTCCCTATAAGTTCTGTTGGAATTGAAAGATTAAGTAGTTATGATTTGGCTAGTTATAGTAAATTACTTGATAAACTTGAACAAAATGTTTATTTTTCTGTTAGAACAGAAAATAATTTGGAGGTAATTTTTGGATGATTTTTAAATAAAATTCTTTTTTTATTTAAAAAAGCTTCGAAATTATCAACTTCAAAAACTTTTAATTAAAAATGGATTTAGAGACGAAGCTGAATTTGAACATACACGACAACTAGTTAAATGGGAGGAAAATAAACGAAATAAAAAATTCTTTAACTATCCATCTGGGCCCATTAGAATGGAAAAAATTAATTAAATATAGATTTTTTAATTTGAAATTTTATTCACAAACGAATTTTTAAATTTATTTTTTAAGAAAAAACACAAATATTTGTAATAAAAAAGAAAATTCCTATCTTATCCAAGGCTCTAACATCTTCCATGAGAAAAAAGGGAAGAGAATTTGTAAGGAGCTTCCACAAGACTAGCTTTACTTGTACTTAGGAGTATTTGGAAGAAGGAACAAAGGGCAATAAACCGAGATCTGAGATGGAATAACAAAAAGCTACATAATTTGTGTTTTTAACCTGAACCAAAAAATATTAGCAATAGAGCCCGAGATAAGACAGATAAGTAAATAACAAAAAAAAACATTGAAAGACCAATTCAATCTTCTCACTCTCTCTCTCTTAATTTATTCAATAGGTCCAGCATTTCCAGTCCCGGTCCACTTTGTCTGTCCAGGTGGCAACTTCAATCCCGGATATAAGCATTCCTGTGCTTTATCCCCAAACTTTTTTCTTCCCTCAAATTCACCTTTCCAATTAGCCCAAAATTTAGTTTTATATTGTGAACGCCACCAATCATACAAATCTAATTCTTCTCTCGGTTGCCAAAGTTCGGCTATTTGGAGTTTTCTTTGTTTAATTCTTTGATTCATTAATTCCTCATTATTTTGGTATTTTGTTTGTTGTTGTTTTGAAGGAGTTTCTTCTATTGTTAATGGACGTTTTGGAGTTTTCAAAATTTCCTGAAAAATTTAAAAAAAATTTCAATTCAGATTTGGCAAAGGAAGATTTATTCCGTTATTTCTTTCATTGAGACAATATAAAAATGACTTTTTGTTTAGATATCATTTTAAGATTACTATTTTCATTTAAATTTTTTTGATAATTTTTTGGGTAAAATTTTTTTGTTATAGGTAGTCGAAAAGTAATAAAGCTTAACTAATCTATTAAAATGAGTACTCAACTACTCAAAAAATTATTTGGAATTTTTAACCATTTATTTTAAATTCGAAATTACCTCTTGTGGATTAACAGAAACATCTCTCGGATTTGTCGATGCCCATTTAATCTTTGGGGTGATTTGTTGTTCTACAGAAGATGCTTGGCTTGTTTGAGGTATTTCTTGAGTAGTAAATTCTTCAATTTTTTCAGTTTTAATTGCTAAAAAATTCTTTTTTTTAAATCCAACCTCTCCCCCCCCCCACCCCCCCTCTACCTTTTTTCTCTTCAAAATTAACTAATTGTATAACAAGCCTTCCTTCTTCATTTTTACTTAAATAATGTGAAATTAATTTATCTTTAACATTTGGAATAATTAATGATTGAAATGCTTCTTGAATTACTTCCAACATTACACTCTTTCCATTAACTACAAATGATGTCAAACAAATTGATGCTCTATTTTTATTAAATGCTAAAGTGAAGGGATATGTTTGTTCACAAATTAATGGTACCTGAAAGAATTAAAAAAATATTAAAAAATTATTTTTACATTTTATTTGATAATTAAAAAATGCTTAGCACCTAAGAGAATTGAACCTATTTATTCATAGGTGGAAAATCAGGTACTTTATTAATATCCCGCCCCCCACCCCTATTTGAGTCTCAGATTAATTTTCCTTTCCTTTACTATCAATCATTTTCTCCTTCAAACATTACAGGTAAAAGGCAAATATTAGGAAGGAAATAATAGACAGCAACCGAAAAAATGTGTCTAACGGCAAAATTTAATATTTATAAAGAAGGAAATTTGACCGTTCCGAGGCAGGAAAAATAAAAAGGAAAATTAATTTGAGACTCAAATAGGGGTGGGGGGCGGGATATTAATAAAGTACCGAAAATCACACGCCTAGTGCATTATCAACCCTAAATAATTACTAAAATATCCCAACTAAATAATAAATATAACCCGCTTAATATATTTTTATTGAATTTTAATCCTATTTTTGTAGGAAAAAAGATTTTTAGTAAAAGAATTTTTATCAAAAATAGTATTGATTATGAACAGAGGGAATTTAAAAAAAATAGTATTAAATAATTGAGTATATTTAATTTCAAAAAATTTTTTAAAAAATTCTTACAATTTCATTTTTCAAAGCCTTTGCTGTACACCATTTTAAACGAACAGAATTAAATAAATTCCAATGAACAGTTACATTATCCAATAATTTTGAATTATTTTCTTCCAATAAACCGCTATTTTTTAATGCAGAATGGGCAATTTTCGGATGGAGTAATTCTACATCATAATGAATTGATTGGCCTGATTGATTTGCTTCCTTAAAATAAAAAAATAAATTTTTGAAATAAAAAAATTTTTTTGAAAAGATTTGTAATCGACAAAATATTTGTTATTTGATCTTTCTTTTTAAGAGGGTATTTTTAATTAATCTTAAGAAAGTCCAAACTAGTTCGTCAATGGTGTAGTGGTTTAATTGTCAATTCCCTTTTTGGTTCGATTAAGGTTCGATACCCTTAGACGGCAAGATATTTTAATTTATTGAAAATATTTTTTCACCAGAAAACATTGCAAAAAATTTTTTATAAAATTTTTCTCAATTTTTAAATTTCTAAAAAACCTTCATAGGTA